AAACTAACAAAGAGGTTTGTGGCCAAAAAAACAGAGATGAGTTCCTGCCCTCAGGAGTTATGTTTTTCTTTTTTTTTTTTTGCATGGTTGAAATTAAGTTATTCCCATTTCTACATTCCAATCCAAGTGAGTGTAAGGAGAGTTTCAGGGTAAGCTATTCCCTTAGGCAGAAATTGCATGTAACATTTCTGCTTATATGTCATTGTGAGAAGTGAAACTTCACAACATCTAGCTGCAAGAGAGACTTGGGGGGGTGTAATCTCTACTTACCTTCCAACTGACTACATACAAAGTGACTTTGTACCCAGCTAACTATTATTAACAGGAAGGGGAAACAAACAAACAAAAAAGAAGGGGAGGCCCACCGCAGTGGCTCACGCCTCTAATCCCCTTTGGGAGACTGAGGTGAGCAGATCACCTGAGGTCAGGAATTTGAGACCAGCATGGACAACATGGTGAAACCCCATCTTTACTAAACATACAAAAATTAGCCAGGTGTAGTGGTACAGTCCTGTAAACCCTGATAATTGGGAGGCTGAGGCAGGAGGATTGCTTGAAGCCGGGAGTCGGAGGTTGAAGTGAGCCAAGATCATGCCACTGCATTCCAGCCTGGATGACAGAGTGAGATTTTTGTCGTTAAAAAAAAAAAAAAGAAGAAGAGGAAGCAGATTATAAGGAGCAATCATGAAAAGAACTAATGACCTCATTTACAACTTAAATGAATAATAGGTATTTTTTGGAAACCAACATAATTTTTACTATAGATGTTAGTGATATCATTAAAACATCATTTTATAAAACATGTTTTATAAGTTAAAGAGTTAACCAGGAGGTTGAGACAAAAGAATCGCTTGAACCTGGGAGGCAGAGGTTGCAGTGAGCCAATTTCGTGCCACTGCACTCTAGCCTGAGCAACAAAGAGCGAAACTCTGTTTAGAAAAATAGAGTTAATAAGCCTTAAGGCTAAGAATTATGCTCATGAAAGATTGAGATAGCATCTAAGAGAGCCTTTGTTTTTGAATGCTGGGAAACATAGGGAGAGGATTTGTAATTTATGAAAGGAAGCATAGTATGGAGCAATCTAATCTATGAGGGGAATCTTTCCCAAGCCTGACCAGTTGACAAGGCTTTTTGGCACAGTAGGTTGTAAATCTCTTCAAGAAAAGACAGTGTAAAGCTTGGCTCTTAAGTAAACTTTTAGGTCTGTGAGATTGCATTCTCCTTTTTAAGTTCCTTGCTGGTGACCATTCAAGAGTACTCTATTAATGAATACCATTTGCACTTTAAGACTGCACAAAGATCAAACGCTTTTGGAAAAATCAGACAACCTTTACTTACCTAACAGAGACAGGATAAAATCAGCACAAGTACAGACAAGGATACGTGGCAGAGAGATCAGCCACTTTATCCCAAGTAGAGTGAGCTGTAGCTTCCTGGGCATTAAGTCCCGTTGGACACAAAGCCTTCCTCAAGCTGTATATGACTGGGGTCTCTATCAGACTTTCTGGCAACCAGATTCCATTTCTTTGTGTTTCTTTTGTTTTTCCTTCTGACCTGTGTGGCTAGGTGCTAGAAAACCCCTTATCTGGGCCAAGTGTGCCCCGCTTTGTTCCAGGAACAGCTGCAAGTGAAGTATATGTATTAATTCATGTAACTATCTCAAAAATCCAATGAGGTAAGTATTACAGTTATCCCCATTTTACAGATGAGAAAACGAAGCAAGAAAATGAAGTGATTTTCCCACAAAGTTGTATCACTAAGGAGCTGCAGAACCAAGATTCAAACCTCGAGGCATACTTAGGGCACTGAACAGGTTTGAGCCAAAGGGCCACTAGATGGCCAGAGCTGGGTCCCAAACCAACGATAGAGGGAGACACACTGGAGGCGCTGGTGTATAAGAGACCATTGTTAGAGGAGCAAGCCCTTACTAAGGCAGCAGAGTGTGGACTAGATGTAGGAATATATACTGTATAGGATTATATATAGGCTCTTACATATGGAGGAGGTGGTATATACCATAAAAGAATATATATAAACTATATATATTCCTATACAGTATATGGTTAGTCTTTCAATTAAAATCATTATGCAACTTGGAAGAAAGATGACTTATGCTGGAAGAGATGATGTAAAGAGCTTCCAGCTTGAGATAAGTGATTTTTTGAAAACAAATGGCATGTCTGTATTCTGTACACATATCAGGAGATACTAAAGATCGTTTTTTTTTTTTCGAGTCGGAGTTTCGCTCTTGTTACCCAGACTGGGGTGCAATGGGCAATCTCGGCTCACCGCAACCTCCGCCTCCTGGGTTCAGGCAATTCTCCTGCCTCAGCCTCCTGAGTTGCTGGGATTACAGGCACGCGCCACCATGCCCAGCTAATTTTTTTGTAGTTTTTTAGTAGAGACGGGGTTTCACCATTTTGACCAGGATGGTCTTGATCTCTTGACCTCGTGATCCACCCGCCTCGGCCTCCCAAAGTGCTGGGATTACAGGCGTGAGCCACCGCGCCCAGCCTAAAGATCGTTTTTAAAAAGGCGGACTGGCTGGGCACATTGGCTCATGCCTGTAACCCTAGAACTTTGGGAGACCAAATTGGACGGATTGCTTGAGTGCAGGAGTTCAAGACCAGCCTGGGCAACATAGTGAACCCCATCTCTACAAAAAATAGAAAAATTACCTGGGTGTAGTGGTGAGGGCCTGAAGTGTGAGAATGGCCTAGGCCCAGGAGGTCAAAGCCACAGCGAGCCAAGATCACGCCACTGTAAATAAAAAAATATGAAAAGGACTGTTTGAAACTTCTATTATTTTTAAGTACAGAACTTCAAGCTTCGCAGATATTACAGAACAAGAAACATTAAAATTCTCAATTAGATAAAAATAGCGAAATTTATCAGGAAGTTCAAGTTCTATGTGATAACCTTGGTGTACCCAAGTCAACTTTTTTTTTTTTTTTTTTTTTTGTGAGAGTGGCAGTGGCTTTATTGTCTTTAGGGCGGCCTGGAAAGGTGGGGTCCTGGGGGGCAGCGGGGAGGAAGGGCTGGGAAGCTGTGTGACAGGGGCCTCAGGTGGTGGGCATCTGGGTTTCCTCCACTTGTGGGTGCCCATTGGCATCACCGGTGCAGCCGTTGGTGGAAGCGGGTCCTTTCTTGTTTGTCACAGGGCAGGCGGCAGCCAGGGGCCCGACTTGCTTGAGGCTGGGCCCTGGGCACTCCATCTTACGCTCCAGGAGCATGTGGTTCTGCGGCTGGAGCCCCAGGCGGGCCCTGAGGATGTTCTCGGTGCAGCTGCACTGGCGGAAAAGCGGCACCGGCACCTTGAAGAGGAAGCTGAGCAGGGACAGTACGGGGTGGAACGTCTGCAGCTCGGGGTCGGCGTCAGTGCAGAAGCTCACGCGCTGGCACAGCTCTGTCAGCAGCGCCAGGTCTAGCATGCTGGGTGCGGCCAGCAGGGAGTCCCCGCACGTGTTGTGCAGCACCAGTGTGTTGGTCCCGCCCAGCATTAGCTCCGAGGTATACTCAGCCAGCTCACGCTTGCTGTCGCCCACGTACGGCACTTACCAGTGGTCCGGCTCCTAGCCGGGTGTATAGAGCACTGGGTTGCTCTGCACCATGTAGTCCACCACGTTGCTCTTGGACACATCCTTAGAGCGGAACTGCAATGGCGCCGACAGGTTCTGCCCGTCGTTGTTGCCCAGGTGTTTGTAACTCACGATGGGCATGGTCTTGAGGCCAGAGCTGATAAGGAAGTCCACGAGCATGGACTTGACTTTGGTCTGGCCAGACTTGAAGTCATCTCCACCCATGAAAACCCGGCGCTGACAGGCGAGCTCAAGAGCTCCGGGCACCAGGGTGTTCTGCGGGGACCCACTGAGGAAGGCACAGCCCTCCAGGATGCCGGCAACGGCGAAAAGCGTGGAGGGAGACACCTCCAGGCCAAGCTCAATGGTGTGCAGCAGGTTCTTGGCCGTGTCGTTGAGGCCTGGAACCACCTCACAGAAGCGCTCTGTGTTGGCCGTCCACAGCACGATGACTTTGTGCAGTCCCGCCCTAGAGGGGAAATCTCGGATGCCCTTGTGGATCTGCTCCAGCTGCTGCGCGCGCCAGCCGGGTATGAGGTTGTCCGCGCGCATCCTCTGGTTGGCCGTGATGAACTCAGGGATGTAGACGGAAGGCCGAGGCCGCAGGGCTTCCATGTGCGGCCACAGTTGCTCCTGCAGCTCCCAAACCTGCACCTTTGCGCACTGCATCGCCTCGGCTAGGTTCAGCGACGAGATGTCCCAGCCATCAAACACGAGGTCGTTGGGCCCCACCATGGGCAGCAGGGCACTGAAGGGCATGAACACCTCCTGGCCCTCGGCGTCCAAGCCCAGGCTCACGGTGCCCACCTGAGTCAGCGAGCCGTAGTAGTTGGCCTCCTTGCGGCTGCTGCGCGTGGGCCAGTACAGACGCAGTCGGTTGGCCAGCACCGAGGCCGTGAGCGTGGAGCCGTTGTTCCCGCCCCAGCCGACAAGCATGACCTCGAGCAGGAGCACCTGCCGGGCGGTCCGGAAGGTGAAGCGGGTGGTCGTGGGGTGTACCTTGAGGACGCCGCCCTCGCGGCTGACACGTGTCGTCCGGTACTGGTATTTCGCCTCGATAGCCTCGGGGACGTAGACCACCTCCCGGCTCTCGATGACTAACTGGGCGGCGGCCTCCATCGCAGCTGGCGGCGCAGAGTCGGCTCAGGCAGCGGCAGCTGACAGCGCGCCCAAGTCAACAACTTCTGACCTTCCAGTTATGCTAAACCAACTGGAATCAAAGGTGAGAGACAGGTGGGGTACAGTGGCTCATGCCTATAATCCCAGCACCTTGTGAGGTGGGGACAGGAGGATCTCTTAAGCCCAGGAGTTTGAGACCAATTTGGGCAACACAGCAAGAGCCCATCTTATTTCAAATTTTAAAAATTAAAAAAAAAAATTTTTTTTAAGGTGGAAGATATTCTCTCAAAAGTCCAGAAAAATTATGTGGGAAAACCACTCTGCCGAAAATTTAATTTCACACAAGCAGAACAACTAGAAAGAGTCAATGATGCTCTTTCCTGTGAACATAAGTGCTTCCCACGAATGTTAATGAAACAATTAGAAGGGGCAGTACAGTCCTTTGGATGGTGTGATGCAGCAAAAGTAAGAATAGATGACAGAGCAAGAATTTACTTGTGTTATGCTTTGTCACCCAAGACAGCAATTACAATAGTGTGTCTACTTGCTACTCATGAAGATCCATCCGAGATCACTAGGACAAACAGTGGAGCCAGCTGGAACAAGACAGCATGTGCCATCAGTAAGGGGCTGATAGGAAGAGTGCCTGCCTGACAGGGGAGGCTGGCCAAATGAAATTGAACCACCACCTTCTGAAATGCCCCCTTGGCAAAAGAGACAAGAAGGCAGTGGCGAAAGGGGTGGTTGCAGTAGTGGTGGGGATGGAGGTAGTAGAAGAGGCTGTGGGGCTGGAGGTGGAAGAGGTGGCTGGGGGTGGAGGAGGATGGGGATATGGTGGGAAAGAGGTAGGAGGTAGTGAGGAGGAGGTGGGGTGGAGTTGGTAGAGGAGGTTTCCAAGGCAGAGGAGATGATGGTGGGAGAGGAGATTATGGTGGAAGAGATTATGGAGATCCATATGGAGGAGGTGGTGATGGTGGTGGATACAGGAGATACTGAAGACTACAAAAATTAAAAACCAAAACCAACAAGCTTCAAGGGCAAAGGAGCAGTCTGTCCTCTTGTATCACAAGCACTCACTAACCACTGTTGTATCTGAGCAAGTTGGAAGGAAAGCGTCACATCTGTGTTCCAACTGTGAGTCCTTTATTGCTGGCCACCAAAAGTCAGCTCACACTCAAAATCTCTCGGTCCTGATGAAGGGGTGAAATTTCCTGTTATATGTTGCTCAGGGTAAGGGGGGCAGAGTGGAATTTTACAGAAGCAGAATAAGCAAGTTAGGGGAGGACGCTCCCGTGATTGTTGATTAACTAAGGAGGGTATACACAAGCCGTTCCCATGATTGCTGGTTACCAAGGGGGGCATTTGGTACTTTCCATATAATCAACCAAGGAGATATTCACAATAGCAAGTGGGCTTGTCAAGCAAGGGTTATATCTTTCTATAGTTCTAAGCACAACATGACCCAGCACCGTGTAACTCAGGTATACACTCAAGGGAGGAATGGCAGGGGGAGAAGCCAAGATGGAGCCAGTCAGGCTCACCTCTAAGATGGAGTTGGTTTGGTTCACCTCACCACCTCTGCCCTTTCTCAACCATTAATCATTCAGACAAGATTTCCTTGTTTACCTCCTCCTATAAAAATGTGAAGTCTCTTCCCTTCTTCTTTGAGGAGATTCCTCTGCATTAATGGATGGTGTCCTTACTGCAATAGTGTGAAAAAAAAAAAAAGTCTCCTTATGCAGTTTAGCAATTTTCAACGCTTGACACCAGTGACTCCATCTTGGGCTATTGACTCCATGCTCAGCTGCTGCTAAACTTTGAGACCCACAAAGAAATCGTGAAAATTATTTCCTTCAAAACAACCATTTTCTCAACAACACACAGCCCAAGAAAACTGGTCCCAATATTTTTTTCCGAGACAGGGTATTACTCTGCCACCTACGCTGAAGTTCAGGAGCTCAATCTTGGCTCACTGCAACCTCTGCCTCCCAAGCTCAAGTGATCCTCCCACCTCAGCCTCTCAAGTAGCTGGGACTGCAGGTGCATGCCACCACTCCTGGCTAATTTTTTTTGTTTGTTGTATAATATTTTTTGTAGAGACAGGGTTCACCATCTTGGCCAGTCTGGTCTTGAACTGCTGGCCTCAAGTGATCCACCCTCCTCAGCCTCCCAAAGTACTGGGATTACAGGCATAAGCCACCATGCCTGACTCCCGATCTTTTTTGTGTGTGAGACAGAGTCTCTCTGTGGCCCATGCTGGAGTACAGTGGGGCAATCTTGGCTCACTGCAACCTCCGCCTCCCAGGTTCAAGCTATTATCCTGCCTCAGCCTCCCCAGTAGCTGGAAACTACAGGCACCCACCACCATGACCGGCTAATTTTTGCTTTATTTATTTATTATTTTTTTTGGCAATTTTTGTTTTTTTAGTAGAGACAGGGTTTCACCATGTTGAGCAGCCTGGTCTTGAACTCATGACTTAAAGTGATTCACCCACCTCAGCCTCCTAAAGTGCTGGAATTACAGGCCTGAGCCACCACGCCTGGCCCCAGAATATTCTTAAAGATTGGGGGTGACCAGGCATGGTAATCCCAGCACCTTGGGAGGCTGAGGCAGGCGGATCACAAGCTCAGGGGATCAAGACCATCCTGGCCAACATGGTGAAACCCTGTCTCTACTAAAAACACAAAAAAAATTAGCGGGATGTGGTGGTGCCCGCCTGTAGTCCCAGCTACTGGGGAGGCTGAGGCAGGAGAATTGCTTGAACCCAAGAGGTGGAGATTGCAGTGATACGAGACCGTGCCACTGCCCTACAGCCTGGGCGGTGGTGCAAGACTCTCTCTCTAAAAAAAAAAAAGAATATTCTGTATGTAGTTTGTTTTGTTTCTGATAGATGCAAATGCACCCTTCTAATGATTAAAGACTTCTTTGTTTAATCTACCAATGAAATAATCTGACAATTTATGTTACAAATAAATTCCCATAAACATAAGCTCCCCTGCCCCTCTCCGGTGGCACAATCTCTGATTTGCTATCCTGGCTGCAACCCTCATTGCTAAGTAAACGCTTATGTAAAGCTTAATAATGAGATTCGAGCAATATGAATAAATATTGGGTTATTTGGGTGCAAAGTTTGAGGATGGCGACCTAGTAGGACACAGACTCCAAAAGATGGGGGTCAGTGCTTCGAAATGGAGAAGTTTGAGGGTCGTTTATATAGGCAAGGTCTGGGAAGCTTAACAGGATATCAACATTTTTCATAGAAGATTAACGCATAGTTAAGAGCAATTTGATTGGTTTTAGGCGTGTTTCTTTTTGGGAAGGGTCTATTTAACATTCCACATTAAGGATGTTAATAGTGAAGGGGTGGTTTATCTTATTCAAGGCGCATTTTATCTCAAATGCCATCTGGTCTGAGCTGGAAACAAGAAAATAAGGGAGTTAATCCATAACAAAAGGTCGGCAATTAAGAGGTCTTGCTTTGTGGTCCGGTCTCCAAAGTCAGCCTTCCTCAGGGACTTTCAGAATCCCCAAATAGACTATCCACTTTCTTTCACACTTATTTGCCTCTGACCTGTTGATTCCTTTTTTTCTTTTTCTTTTTATTAAGGGTTAACAATCTCTTGAATGCACGCTGACTTTCTTCCATGCGCTTCACAGAAAAAATTGGTCCTGAGGCCAGCAGCAACAGCAAGTCTCAGGAACTTGTTCGAAATGCAAATTTTCAGCCGCACCCCAAATCTACTGAGTCAGCAGTTTTGCAGGTGCTTCTCAATCCCTCTTTAACATGCCCTCTGGGTGATTCAGGTGCACGTGAAAGATAGATCTCTGCGCGAGATTACCGCGCCGAGCAGGTAAAAGCGTTCTGCAAGCTCGGGTGTTATCAGCGGGCCGGGCCCGCGGCTTCTCTGGGTGGCACTAGGACCGCGGCGGCCGGGCCCTCGCAGCCACCGCCTCCGGCGCGAGGCGGAGCCCAGCTGTTCCTGGATCCCGGGCCTGGCTCCTCGACCCGCCCCTGGAGGCGGACCCCACTTGACTTAAACTCTGGGGCCCGGGAGGCCGCCGGCTTTCTCCCTGCTTGGCGGGGTGGTCCTCTCCTCTGCTCGGTAAGTGTGAGGCGAGCACCCCGAGGCCCCCTCTTCGCCTTCTGGGACCCGGGCGGGGCGGGGGCCGGGAGCCCGAGGCGCTCGGGGCTGGGGCTGGCGCGCGGCGCAGAGCGCTTTTGTTCTGCAGCTAGGACGCAGCCGCGGCGGCCCCGGAAGCCGGGCCTCGGGCCCCGCAGGCTCGCGCGCCCGGCAGTCCACAGCCCGGAGCTGGGCCGGGCCGCCGCGCTAGCTTCTGCCCGCCGCGCCGGGGCCAGCCTTGGGCCTCCGCGGACGCCGAGCCTTGCACTGGAGGGCGGGCCTCGCTGGCTGTTCCCTCATTTCCTGGCTCTGCGCGGTAGAGGTCGCGAGCGGCGAGGGCGAAGACGCGTTTTGTTGAACTGCGAAGCGGTTGGTTAGGCGGGTGGGTGTGAGAGCTGCTTATGTTTTTAAGGCTTTCCTGTCGCTGGAGTGAAAAAAAAAAAATCTTTGTTTTGCTATTTCCGAGCGTTCTCCTCTCCGACCCTCTTAAGCCGAAGCCTCTTGGAAAGGAATTGCTCTGCTCGCATCTCAAGTGGTCCGCGAACGCTTCTGTGCCGGAGATGCTTTCTGTTCCTCAGCAAGAGTTAGTTCCTTCAGGCATTTTTAAATGCACAAACGCATACCCATCTTAGGTGTTCTCGAGGGACACGGATTCCCTAAGCAAACATCCTTAGGGTCCTGAGTTTGGCAGCAAACTTTCGGGTAATCATTTCCTTGAAAACAATTTATTTGTAGTCCATCGAGTGCAGACCGTCTTAAGACAGGCATGTGTATGAGACTTGAGGCGCATTTTTATTTTGCGGGGAGGGGAGTCGGGTGCATTTCAATAGGCGGCTCTCAGAGCTTGTGTGGGGATTGTCTTTTTCTGCTAAATGTGTTAGCTTTAATCATGTTTCACTGTCATGTAAAGGTTTTAGTTTTTTTCCCTCTGTGCAGTCTGATTTTTTCTGTTTAATACCAACCCAATAAAGACAACTGCAGAGAGAAAGTGTTGTTTTGA